CCGTTTCTTCCTTCGCCCCCGTCAGAATCTATACTGGTTTTTCTCGCACTGTGGGATACAAAGGGAATCTGTGTCAGTCGAATCAAGCGGGTCTGTGCCGAAAATATTTAATTCATATATGTTGGAACCATTTTTTGTAAATTTGGTCAAAGGCACTTTGAAAGACACCCTGGGCAAGTTCTAGAGCCACATATTAGCTGTTGCGCAACACACGGAAAACTGATTTGTTACCTGGGAAGCCATCATCCCAAGGGAGGGAGTCTAGCGGTTGCAGTGCTTGGGAATGGAAATAAGAAGGCTCCCATAACTTGTTGACGTCAAGCACAAACGGGTCATCCACATCTTCTCCTAGGTCCATGTTACATATGAGGCATATCTGATATTCGCTTTATCTCGTTGCGGCTGTTCTGACGCGTTTGGGAAACCAAGCGCGGTTGATTGAACGCTCCGCACGGACCACTGCTTATTTGCCGGTTATTATTTCACCGCAACAGTCCACTTCTCATCTCAAATTAACCGTTAATACTCTAATACGAACTATACAATTTATATCCCTTAAAATGCCACCCAGGAAGAAATTGCGGCTCTCCTCCCAGGGAGCTCTGACTCCACAAACAGAGAACCTCCAGCATACGCCTACCACACCCGCGCAACCAGACGTTGTATCTAAGTTTGAGAGTGAAAGTGATTCCATAATCACAGACCCATGGACGGAGGAGCAAGAAATATCATTGCTAAAAGGAATCATACGATGGAAACCTGTCGGTATGCACCCGTACGGCGCTCACAAAATGCAAGGGTGCAAGCTTAATAACAAATTTAATAACCTTAGGAATGCATAAACACTTTCGCATGCTAGCTATTTCAGAGCATTTAATAAGTCAGGGTTATGTGGCACCAAACGATCAACATACCCGGATACCTGGCATTTGGAAGAAGCTGGGAACGCTATACAATCTTGCTGGGCTGGACGAGAGAGTCGGTGACCCGGTTGCACATCCTTGTTGACGGATGCGAATCAGCGAAGTTCCTGACATATGCTGACACGTTTTCCTGTTCAGGAAGCCTCGTTTGCTACAGATGGATCTGATGACTCAGAGCCAGCGCAAGAGCCTTACTGCCCATTTCAGCTACCATACGATGAATACGGGGAGATGATGTTTAAGAGAAGGCTTGCCCCGGAAGGGTCATCGTCTCCTCCAATGAGCCTTGCTGGAGGATCAGTAAGGGCTAGTACAATTGCAGACACAGACGGTGGGCAAATTTGGCCTCTTTATCCATTAATCCACGTCGAATGATATTGAAAATGAGCTAAAAGAAGATAAACTTCCAGAACTAAGTTCCTCGCCCGCACCATCTCGTGGCCGGCGAGGAAACCGTAGCACACGCGCCATAACTCGAGGCACACGATTTTCACGGTTACATGCTGAAACCGAGAATGGAAAGGGGCGACAAAATAATAAGGCTAGTCCGCATAAAGAAGAAGATACCGCTGAAGATGGCGAGGGAGAAGAAGGAGATGAGGAGGGGACGGAGACAGCTGAAGAGGAAGACACTGATACACAGACTATGGACTCTGCGCGGGCAAGGCCGACTCGGACGCAGGCTACGCGTGGGAAAGCGAAAAAGCCGAGTAAAGGCCCGCCTAAACGCGGTAGGCGACGGTGATAGTTTTTCGTTTTCTTTGGCTGCTCTTTTCTGCTTTCTCGATCCATTACCTAGACTAATTCGAGATGCACGTTTTGAACTTACGGGGGATCATGTTTGCGCACCATATTGCCACGACTAGCTATCGTAAATCTGAAGACGGGAGTCTGTTTTGGTTCGGGAGGTTTGTAGGATTGTGAACAGGCGCACAATGTACGAGTTTATATGTAAAATGCGGTTGGTAGGCTCAATTCACTTAAAGCTAGTTTTGTATAGTACATCCAGATGCGAAAAGTTGATCAATGTCAAAAACTATCCTCCACAAGCTATCTACGCAATCACAACAAGCAGTATATACTTTATATAAAAAAGACCAGCAAGGAAAGGTAACTCGCAATGGCAAGAAAGAAAACAAAGGGAATACCAGCTCGCTGAGCTCAGGATACATATAGCTATTTCTGTCTAGTAGGGGGACTGGATATGACCAACTGGATAAAATATATGGGGGAATCGTGGACGGGAGTGGGCAGGCAAATAATAATATTACAGTCTAGAGATGATGGCATTTGCGTATTCGTTGGTCGTGGCTTTGCCACCAAGATCACCGGTAAGTGACTAAACAATGTCGTCAGCAGAGTACTGGTAGTAGGTAGGGTTAAACACATGGCCTTTCCTTACCTTCCCTTCCGCGAGAGTGGCGAAGATAGCATTTTGGATCTTCTCGGCATGCTGATGCAGTCCCATATGCTGCAACATCATAATACTGCTCAAGA